GGAGAGAGGGAGTCAGAATCCCAGGCATGCTCTGTGCTATCAGCACAGAGCCCGACTCGGGGTTCAAACTCATGAACTGTGAGATCACGACCTGAGTTGAAGTCAAGAGTCGCATGCATAAGTGACTGAACCACCCAGGCACCCCAGGGAACTCTCACTCCTGCCCAACTTCAATAAGGCACTGGGCCCCCGAGTGAGCCACAGGGAAGGAAAGCACTCAGCCCTGTGGGACCCTGAGGATGTCTGGCCGGCACGGTGCTTGATTTCTTCCTTGTACTTCAGCCTCTCAGTCCTCCTCTTTGCCTCTCCTCTTCCACTCAGTTGGAAAAGGCAGGCACCTGCCTCCGTGTGAGTCTGTCACTGCTGTGACCACAAGGTAAGAATCCTCCATGAATTTGGAAGCCTTTTTTTTTTTTTAAGTAAAAATACTCCCAATGGAAGAGATGATTCAAGGATTTCACTGAAAGGCACTGAAGAATAGTATTCCCTGTTCAAAGAAAAAGATGGCTGAATAGATAAGAGAAGGCCACGTCTGCCCTATTTTCAGACCAATGAGCAGATACAGATTACATGACTCTCTCATTTCATGAAAAGAAACTGGAGAGTTGAGACGAGGTGATTCTTGAAAGAAGAAAGGTTATTAGATTCCTTACTATTAATCATTAAAATTTCTTAATTTTTTATTAACCAGCTTTAAAAAAATAATAAAATACATGCTTATGGCAAATAATTCAGTGTAGAAGGAAATGAGGTGAAAAGTACAATTCCTTTTCTCCACTCCACACCCTCCTCCCCATACCTTCCTGAGACCCACTCCTCAGCAGAAACCACTCTTAACAGTTTAATCCCCATTTTTCTAGAATTTTCTATGTGCATTCCAATCTCCTCTCATACTACCTTCCGCCTTATACAAGAGGCCTTCAAACTTGGGATCTTGTGATAGTCTACTTCCCCCTGGTCAGTTTAGCTCTTCTAGTCTTTGGAAAGCTGGCTCCTTCAGTGTTCTGCTAATGTCTGCTCAGAATTGTCACCTACCCAGAGAGATTTCCTGTGACTTCTCTAGTTAAACAGGAATCCTGTCACCACCGCCATCCTGCCCCAACAGTCTATGCTCACCACTGTCTACCCAACCCTTAGCACAAGGAAGGTATTTGAAAGATATGTGATGGATGCAAGCAGGCACACGTTAGGGGCACCTGTGTGCGCACGTACAGATTCTTCCCCAAAATACAAATGGGATGGTACGCATAACACAGAGAATCTTGCCACAAATGATGATGATGATAATAATAACATTTCTTAAGCACTTATGTTGCAAGGACTATTCTAAGCTTTTTACATGTATTCTTTCACGTGGTTCTTACAACCACCCCATAAGATAGGCACTAACACTATCTTAGAATAGAAGACTAAGAGATGGAGCCACAGGGAGGTAACTTCTTAAGGTCACACAGCTTGCAAATGACTGAGTCAGCACATATAAATTTACCTTCATTTAAAAATGACTGTTTAGCCTTAATTAATATATTTTTCAATTTTAATACACACAACATAAAATTTACCGTTTTGGCCATTTTAAAAAGGTCTATTTATTTATTTTGAAAGTAAGAGACAGCACCAGTGGGGGAGGGTCAGAGAGGGGGAGAGACAGAGAATCCCAAGCAGGCTCCATGCTGACAGCGCAGGGCCCGACTCGGGGCTCGATCCCATGAACCGTAAGATCATGACCTGAGCCAAAACCAACACTCAGATGCTTAACCGACTGAGCTACCCAAGTGCCCCCAGTCATTTTTAAGTATACAGTTCAGTTGCATTAAGTACATTCACCTTCTTGTGCAACTACCACCACCATCCATCTCCAGAACTTTTTTTCATCTTCCCAAACCGAAACTCTGGACCCATTAAACAAAAACTCTTCATCCCCTCCTCCTTTCAGCCCCTGGCAACCACCATTCTATTTTCTATCTCTATGAATTGGATTACTCTAAAGTTCCTCATTTCAGTGAAATCATACAGCACGTGTCCTTCTGTGGCTTATTTCACTTAGTATAATGGCTTCTTTAATTAATATTTTAATGAGTAATTTTCAACTCTATTTTAATGTTATACTCATACTCATTGTGTACAAAAAGGCACAAAAAGACATAGAGTAAAAAGCAAGTTCTCCTCCTACATCTACCACAGGGCAGCCGCTCTTCCCAGTATCCTTCCATACACAATTATGCGTACATGCATTTTGTACACCATGAATAGCATATTCTACATATTGCTGTTTTGCGTATTTCCCACTTAACTATATACCTTAGAGATAGTTTCACGTCACTGTACATAGACCTGCTTCTTAGTAAATTCTGTTTATTGAAATATAATGTACATACACAAAAGTGTATATACTGTAAGCTTACAGCTGGGTAAGTTTTTACAAACTGAGCACACCTGGATAACTAGCACCCTGATCAAGAAATGGAACATTACCAGTTCCCTGGAAATCCTTCTCCGGCTCCTTTCCAGACACTACTCATCCCCTCACCAAGGGTATCCACTTTTCTGGGTTCTAAACAGACTAGGTTCATCTGTTTATGGAGTTTTTATGAAAAGCATCAGACTGCACATACTCTTGTGTCTGGCTCATTCCATGCCCCCTTATGCTGGTGAGATTCATCCATGTCACTGAACTGCAGCTGACATGGAACAATATCCTTGAATAAGTTAAAGGCCTGCTGCTGCTGCCGAGACGGTCCCCGCTGCTTGGAGGTCTTGTGTGTGGTATGCCCAGTCTCTCTAGCTCTCCCTTACGACCCTTGAATTCCTCTCGGTGGCTTTGTAAATGCCTTAAAGAGTCCGCAACTAGCCAAAATTCACCTCCAGCTGAAGAAGTGATGAAAACCAGCAGCCTCGTGTTGAGGTCTGTGCAGAAAGTTGCATCGGAACGAGTGGAGGGGAGAAAGGCCCAGGAGCCCTGCCCTCTGATCAGCATCTCTGCAGCCACAGCTCGGTAAGGCATGCTTTTTGAGGCTTCCTTCACTCAGCCAAGAACTCAAATCTCGAATTCTCCGAACATGAGGAATCATGACAAAGCACTGGTTTGCATTCCCTTTGCAAATGTTACTTCTAAAGTGGAGTCAAAACTACTTCCAAGTAAAGAGCTAAGCAGCTTTAACTAATATCAGCAAAGGGCCTAAGAAAAGAGATGTAGCTAATGTATACCATCTGTTTGTTTGCACTCTTATGCCCTACAATTCAGGGCAAAATACCAGTTTGGGAAAGGAAATGTCACATACAAGGTAGGAACAACATACTAACGGGGCAAAGTTGGACACACTGTTCAGCTTGGGTTGCCCACTTACGAATTTGAAATCCCTGTCAAATCAGTCCTCCACCTCCCCCCATCCTTAGTTTGGCAATGACCTGAGTATCTATTTCCAGATATGAGCTGTTAAGCAGCAGAACCAATCGGCACATTCGCGTGGGGCCAATCATCACTGCCCTGAGTGGCTCAGGAGGCAACATGCAGGACTGCATTCTTGTGGTTCGCCTTTCCAGAAAGGCCTTTCCCAAGCACCACATGCTGCCTGCAGTGGGTCCAGCAGAAGAGGGGGAGGAAAGGATGTGCCCTATGGCAGACTCTGCTTTACCACAATAATACCATGCTTCTCCCTTTGGCTCATTGCGTTCCTTCTCCCCACAAAGGCCTTCTTCTGGAAGGCTTCACTGCATGGGCCTCCCAGAAGAGCTCGTCTCTACCTGACAACCTGTAACCAATTAGTGGCTGCAGGGTATCCCTATCTCATTTAGTCATTTTAGCAGCAAAAATTTACTCAAAACTCAAGATAAACCAGAAATCATCCCCTGGCTTTCACTTAGAACATGGAAGGAGAGAAGGAGAGAATAAGCATATAAAAGAAGAGTAAAGAGCTTATGGGAGAAGTTGAAAACAAACCTTATCCAAGTCCAGAAAGAATATTCCATTTAATTTCTTTGTAAAGATTTTCTTTGCTGAGTAAGAGTACTGTATAAGGCATGTTTCCAGTGACTTTTTAGTCTGGTACTTACTGAAAGGTGCTATATACCCACTGCAGACAAAGGGGAAAGGTACAAAGGAGGACCACATACTCCCTCAGCTAGTTAAGGACAAAGGACGGTCCGCCAGGGCCAGAGTCAACTTTTAGTCTAGATCACCAGGGGCTGCTGTTTCTCTGGCCCAGAGGCCAGGGGAGGCCACTCCCGAATAACTACCTACCACTCTGTTTGGCTGTATTCCACATTCCTTCCTGGAAACTTCTCTGAAAAAAGAGAATAGAGATGAGAAATGCCCACAGGGAAAGTTTTCTTAGGGGCCTACAAGCTCAACTGGCTGGAATCTGAAGAGGGCAAAAAATGGAATGTTCACCCCGAATGATTGAACAGAAGATAAGCAAACAGCAGGTGACAGAGCAAACACACAAGAAATATGATCTACCTACCCTAGGAAGGACTCTGGTTCTTGAATTCATCTTGAAATGGGAGGAGGTTCTTACTGACTCCGTGGTTTTGAACCCAAGTCTGAGCAAAAGCTGCACTCTTGATTCTAGAAAGAACAGTATAGAATGCAAGGGCCAAGGATTTTTAGAGCTGGTAGAGTCTGGAATCAGCTTCTTGGGAACAGAAGTTCCAAGAGTCAACAGTAGCTGGCAGCAGATAACCTCTCTAGGCTGGAGGATGGCACAATCCTGGACTGTCAGTGCCAGAAGCGATCTTAGAGATGGCTCCAGACTGAGTTCTTTGAGTTTCACGTGAGGAAACCTAGGTCCAGATGGGGTAAAAGGCTGGTCCAAAGTTACACACCTGGTTAATGGCACAGTTGGGAGCAGAACCGGTGAGCTGACTTTCATTCCCTTGCCTCAGCCGTTGTGTAACCCAAGACCAAAATAGTTGGGGGTCAGAAAGAAGGGGAAAAGGTATGAGCTTTGAGATCCATTAGTAATCCTACCATTAGACACACAGTGAACATCATTAGCCGGTTAAACTTGCTAATGTCTTTAATGTGAGAGGTGATATTTATTGCACTAAGGAAATGATGGTACAGTACCCATTTGCCAGACACTTTTTTCACGTTTAGGATTCTAGCAATAATACATATATAAAATGAGATTTACACATTTCCTGTCTAAACACATACCTTGACCATTCTATTATGTACACTGAGTGAACATATGTCCCTTAATTTTGTTAGAAAAAAACACTTCAATTGAATTATACACAGAATGATGACACAGTTTTACGGTGTGTAGTTTAAAAACAAAATTGGTTAAGTCCCCCTTCCCTTTTCCACCATTTATTCGTTTTTAAAAAAGTGACTTCAGTCATAATGAAGGTGTTAAGAAAGAGGCAAAGACAAAAGTCCATTCAATCAGCCCTACGCATGTCCTAACAGGGTGAGGAACAGTTTGCCCAACTGTGGAGTCCCCGGCTTGGGGCAAGGCCCCATGCCCATGAAAAGCATGGGTGAGTCACTGTATTTTAGATGCTTCTTTTTGAAGGCCCTTCGAGGAGCTGAGAGAAACTAGAACACTCAGGTTGAGGGAGGATACAGACTTTTTTCTCATCGTTTCCTAACATAGGTTAGAACTTCAACAGTCTAGAATGCTGAAAGAAACCTCTTGTATTCTATTCAAGGCTCATGAATGATATACTGTCATAGCCATTTAGAGTCTAGAAGGACTTTGGCAATCACCTAATCCAGTATCTTCATTTTCCAGATCAGAAAACAAGACGCCCAGTTAGATCCAGTAACTTGATAAAGGTTCGCGCAGGTTCTCAGCGTCTTCTGCCAACCTCTAGTGCGTGTACTCGAGAAAGGGGCTAGGGGTATGGTGTGGCAGGCAGCCTTTCAACAGGTCTGTGAATCTTCCAGAATGCATATGCAAAGTGCATGTGGAGCATTTTCCTGGCAGATTTTGATCTACATGAATTAAACCTGAATAGTTCAAGGAAGATTTTAAAACATTACAATTATAATCACCCTCCCTCCCAAAGGGTTCATTCAGGGTAGGTAGCAGGTGTGAGCACTTGGGAGACGAGTCTTCTGTTCTCTCAGAGGTGCTGAGGCCTATGCTGACCAGGGCTGACAACATGAAGGTGGGGGGCGGGGTTCAAAACCACATGTTGAGAGGGCTGCACTGTTCCACCCGACGGTGTCGCCAACTTGCTGAGACTCAGGAAGACCTTACTGCTTGCAGGGGGTGACCTTTTTAATTCCCTTGACAGCTGAGGTATACATTTTTCAGCAATTGTCCAGTCTGATGACAAATGTACACAAAACCAAGTTTGGCCAGCACGGAACACCCCTGGCTTCCCCAAAGCGCTCCAAACTTCAAAGGCCAAAAGATAGCTTGATGACTGAACCCATATCCTTGGGGCATAAATGCGACTGCCTCACCACTCCCTAATGGTGGCTACCATTTACTGAGCAGTTACTATGGTGCTCATGACTTGTTACCTTGTTGTCTCTCAGCAAGAGCAATGCACAGTAAGGGTAATGTTCTCTGTTTCAGAGACCCGGAAGAAAAAAAGGTCAGTCAGGGCCCAGTAACTTGCCCAAAGTCACCTGGCAAGCAAGTGGCAGATCCGATTAAACTTATGGCTGTCTGACTCTTTCCCTTGCTTCCTGGGTTACCACCCAAGCAGGTGGACCAGTATCCCAGTTATCATCAGGAGCCCTCCTTAATTCCAGTATTTGCCATGCATGCGTATGACTTCCTTCAATTTCTCTGCACATTTCCACCAAATAAAACCATATGCTCTTCCATAGCAACACTGCAACACAAACATGGTGTAATCTTTATCCACTGCAGTATACAGCTTGAAAAGTTATCAAAAAAAAAAAAAAGCAAAAAACGAAATAACCCCCAAAACAAAACAAAAAAAAAACCCTTCACCAGTACACAGTTGAACCGAATCCCACGGTGACAAATACAAACCTAAACACGGTTCTTTCCTTTAAATCTTTTCTTCTCTTTCCTTTGTAATGCTCTTAGAACACAAACTGAGTTGCAACACTTGTGACTAAGAAGGGGCCCGATTCAGTGATCCTTGGGCCCTGGGCGCGGGCCTCCTGCAGGACAATGGCCACTGCCCAATGCGGGAGCGCCAGTCCCCGTCCAGAATCTCCTGCGGCTGCCCCCTTGACCCACGCGGGGACCCTTGCGGAACCCAGAGTGGCTCTGGCGACCAGGCCAGGTCGTGTCCCCGCGACGCTCCCCGCAGGACAGCGTGTGACTGTGGGGAGGGGGCGGTTTCTGCCCTGCGGGACCAGGGGACGGGGCGGGCGGCCAGCCCTGCCATCCCCGCGCTCCCTCCGCACTCCCAGGGCGGTGCGTTCCATTCCATCCTCCGCCCGAGCCTCCTTCGGCACGTGAAATTTGGCAAGTGAAATTCGCCCCGTTTTACAAATGAAAGCCTCCACCCTCCCAGAAGACAGCAACTTGCCCTAAGTGACTGGCTGGAAAAAGAGAGCGGAGGGAATGTGAACCCAGGACTTGTGTTTCCTTTTACTCTACCTCGCGTGGCGCCTGGCTGCCAGGGTGCTGGGGAACCCATGTGTCTGTGGTGACCTGTGTGGTTACTCCCCCCCGGTTGCGCCTCCAGGGGACCCGCTGGGTTTGGAGGCATCCACTGGAGTGATCCAGGTAAAGGCGGTCTGTCTGCCGTCCCTGCTTTCCCCTCGGATTCTCTCTTCTCCCCAGAGCCCTGGCTTTTTTTTTTTTTTTTTAAGGCTTTCTAGGTCCTGACAAATGCAGAGGCCACAGAGACGGAGACACCTCAATCAACTAGTCAGGTGGGGTTGTGCCGTGATTTGCTCCTGTTCCTATAGGAGGTCCAGCACTTACTAGCTGAAGGGGGAAGGAATGCACCAGGTAAATGCCATTTTCCGGGTTGCACATTCAGGAACCAGAGAAGCTCGTTATGACCGGGTGCTAAAACCTGAAGAAATGTTCCTTGGCTGCTTCCTCACTGGACTCGTGCTGAAGTACCTGATGGTCTACTAAGGCGGTGGGTAGGAGGTTGAGGGACAGCCAAGTGGGGATAACAAGAACACCTGTCACTTCTGGAATACTTGGTAGGTGCTGGGTGCTCTGAGCAGCTCTTTATAATATTTCATCCTCACAGACCCAGGGGGCAGGTAGTATTATTCTGCTCTAACCCATGAGACATCCAAAGCTTTCAGAGGTAGTCTGTCCTGTCCAAGATCCTGCAGTGGCAGAGCCAGGTTCTGCCCAGGGCTTCAGACTCCAGAGCCTGTGCAGGAGTGACTTCCTCGTAGAAGGGGTGGGGACCACTCACCGGAGATACTCAAATAAGTGCACCAGGAGAGACCAGGTTATGCCTCGGACTCTCAGGCAGAACTTGAACCAGGTTTACGATAGGAAAAGGGTGGGAGGGGGGTGGATGAGGGTTGAGAGGAGAGGGAGTGGGAGTGTGTGGGGAGAGTGGGAACATCCCTGCTTCTTGTCCAAATCCAAAGAGAGGATCCAAGGTTCCAGTCAGGAAGGCTCTTTTTTTTAATCAATTGTTTTTTGTTTTCAGAACTAAGGTGGAAATGACCCAGTGAGGAAGGAAAATGAGCACAGGCTGCCCTAGTCACACAATTAAAACATATATGCTGGCCAAAGGTACATCACTCCCCCACCCCTCCTTCCAGAGAGAGAAAGGCCCTTTCTGACCTAGAAGCCTATTAAAGCATTCCACTGGGGAATACTCTGACCCTTCTGAAGGCACACTGTGAGAACTTTGTTCTTTAGAATGTAGTCACACAAAGGGTTTTGTGCAAATACCGAGCTATTATTCTATAAATGCAAAGAAGCATTAGGGATGGGATGTGAACAAAAGCTGGACAGAGGGTGCACGCCCAGATGCTGTCTTGGCCAGGTTGCAATTTGAATGATCTAATGTTTTCTGGCTCCTTCTTGCTTTGCTTTTCCAATTTGGTTTGAATATTTGCATTACTGTATTATTTTCCCTGTACAATTGCTGTTGTCTGTACACAATTAGGTCATCTTCATAGCTGGGTGAGGAGACGCTGAGATGAACTACAGACGTGAGATGAACTATATAGCTGGTAGCTGGTTCCCCGCTGGGATGTGCATTCACATCCCCATCCTTGTCGGTTCCAAAGACTCTACCTGCACCCAGGATCTGAAAGCTTTAATGTGGGTCATCCGACCAAGTGGAAAGAACCACAGCATCCCTTTGTAATGGGGGGTAAGCACATCCTGTTTCTATAATTTTCGGGTTGACTTGCTGATCTAATCATGCCATTCCTTGGGCCAAATCTAGCCCTGTATTGTAATATTCCAGACAAAAGAACAGACTATTTCCTGGTGGCCTGTGGCTTTTCTGGTATGTGGAGGGTTTGCTGAAGTTGACCCTGAGCAAAGGAGAAGGAAAGGGAAGTAACAGGGTGAAGAGGAGGGGCAAACTGCCCCTATAGGTGAAGCTAGAAATGCATATAGATGTTCAAGCCAGTGTAGAGGGTGAACGTTGACCTAGGACTTTGAAGAGAGATAGAAAGGCAACCCCAGAGGAATGGAGGCTTATTTTGCAGATGAAAGCTGATTTGGGCCATGTTCACAAAGTGCTCTGCAATTCCTCACCAGTATAAAATCTCACTGGTAGACATTCCACTAATTCAGCTTGCTCAGCTATCTGGAATTTGTGTTTCTTTGGGAAAGGCCAGTGCTACGTTTTATGTTTGTGCTCCCTTTAAATTTTTTTTTTTCAACGTTTATTTATTTTTGGGACAGAGAGAGACAGAGCATGAACGGGGGAGGGGCAGAGAGAGAGGGAGACACAGAATGGGAAACAGGCTCCAGGCTCCGAGCCATCAGCCCAGAGCCCGACGCGGGGCTCGAACTCCCGGACCGCGAGATCGTGACCTAGCTGAAGTCGGACACTCAACCGACTGCGCCACCCAGGCGCCCCTGTGCTCCCTTTAAAATAAGGTTGGGCTAAACAAAAGGAAAGGACGGGCTGTGATTAAAGCCACTGGGGAAGCCCCCTGCTCTTAAAGCGCTTCATAATCAGACTTGACCGTACTCAGCTCACTGAGTGCCCCATTCTGGCAGGACCATCTCTCTGGCTCAGCCTTCTCATTGTTTCCTGCTTGCTTCCTCTCTCCACTCCCTAGATCTGAATCTATGACATTGACCTCGTTTCTCCTCTCTTCTTTCCTTTTTATCCAAATAACTCACACATCATTTATGTACTAGATATTTGATCACCTTCTGTGTCAGATATGTTCTAGATGCTGGATTTTATAACCAGCGATTGAGGACTCTCTGCTCTTACAGAGCTCAGTCAAAGGGGAACCCCGCCGATAACGTGTGATGGGCAAGACCACTTCAAGCATTCAAGTGGCTGAATTGTGAGGCAGCTAAGACTCCAAGAGAGGGCAAACCTTACATCTGGGCTCTCACAGATGGCTGATGACAGGATTAGAACTGGAGAGATCATTTGAAGCCTGGCCTTCTGCCAGTACCTCCTTCCTGAGGCTGCCTAGAGCCCCACAGTCAGAGTCTTTTCTGGTTCTTTCTCATCCAGTTGCACATAGTTCATACTTACTCTTCTCCCAAGAGTAAGCTACTCCCATCTCAGAAGAGCTCACATTTGTCACGTAAGCCAGATATCTGCCCTAACTCCAAGAATTGACGTGCTGATAAATTGAGCTGATAGATATAAAAGTGCTTTGAGAACAGTATGGCAATTCAATTCTAAGTACTGAAGCTACTATCAAAGTAATACATTAGTTCAATTAATAAATCAGTAAAGGGATTAATCACTAATCAATACTAGGTTCTGTGGGGGTGACGCTATCTTCATGTATATAGTATTGCCCTTTCCCTAAAGGAATTTATGACAAGTTGATGGTACAAAGTTAAAGAGAAAACTAAGTAGGCATTTGCAGAGTGCTTACCATGTGGTTTTCCTTACAGTATCTCAAATAATCCTCACAATAGTCTATGATATAGGCATTATTTTCTTCAGTGTATGGATGGAACGCCCTCCCCCGAATCCTGTCTGTTCAAGCACAATATAGCATAGGAGCTAAAAGCCCTGGATCAGGACTCAAACTGCTTGAATTCATATCCAGGCACTGCCAATTACTGGGGACATGACTCAAAATCTTTATGCTTCAGTTGTAAAATCGAGATGCTAAGAATAGCACGTATTTGATGATTTCTTGTAAGGATAATGTGACCATACATTTAAGTACTTGCCACAGTGCCTGGTCCAGAGAAAGCCTGAGATAAAAGTTAGGTATTATTATTATCCAGCTCCAACACGTTTTTATCTGCAGACTTTCCAGAACCCCCATTAGAATTGGTCTCTCTTACCTCTATATCCTCATATCACTGTGGGCATGCCTCTCAGCATATTTTTATGTGTACCTGGTTATTAGTGTCTGGCACAGAAAAACCAATAAAAATGTTGACGGTTGGATGAATGGATGTTTCTGTCTCCCAGAACTATATCACAGTTCATAGAAGGCAGAGTATTGTGTTTCTAGCTATAAGACAGAACATCTGGATATCGTAGATAAAATATAACAAATATACCTTTAGATGTACAAACTCTCATGCAAATTAGGGAGGTCCTCACAACACACCACACACACACACACACACACACACACACACACACACACACACAACACGACTGGCATTCAAAGTGGTCAACTGCCACTGGATCTTTGCTGCTTTGGAAAGTCTATCTATCCAAGTGACTTTAAGGCTTGGTTTTGGGGGCTTTATGGGAGCCAGGAGACCAAAGTTAGTGTTCTCAAAAGAGGGAGTGTTGGAGTAGAGAATTCTGCATACAAGTGAGACTCACAGAGGGACAGATATGAAATAAAAGGATAGATGAGAAAAAAGCCTGCCTATGTACAATGAAAAATGAGAAACTTCATCTGTCTTGGCCTGGACTCGTAAGATTTTATTTTATTTTTTTAAAACAATCCTTAAATTTTTAAAAATGTTTTATTTACTCTTGACAGAGAGAGAGAGACAGAGCATGAGCGAGGGAGGGGCAGAGAGAGAGTGGGACACAGAATCCGAAGCAGGCTCCAGGCTTTGAGCTGTCAGCACAGAGCCCGACGCGGGGCTTGAACCCACAAGTAGTGAGATCATGACCTGAGCCGAAGTCGGACGCTCAACTGACTGAGCCACCCAGGTGCCCCGAACTCGTAAGATTTTAAAACACAGTCTTTCCTTCACACAAGTGGAGGACATGAATTTAGACTATCTCCATGGTCTGGGAGACTTCAGCTGTAAAATTAGTTTAAATTGTCCCCAGGTTTGTAGCATACCAGGGTAACTGGCACAAACAGATCTTCTGTGGAGGGATAGTTCCAAAGGTTTCACAGGAGTCTAACAGATAAAGTCCTACTGAACATGAGATTACAATTAAAATGAGAAACCACACTAAGAGGCAGGCTACCATGAGTGAAAGCCAGTAGAAATCACAATGAACAGAATTAGACATTATATAACAGTTACCATATACCAAATATAAATTGATTAAACTGTTTAAAGCAATAGAAAGGGGAAACGAAAGAAGAATAAACACAATCTAAAAAGACCAGGGGTGGGGCGACTGGGTGGCTCAGTTGGGTGTCTGACTTCGGCTCAGGTCATGATCTCACGGTTTGTGAGTTCGAGCCCCGCATCGGACTCTGTGCTGACAGCTCAGGGCCTAGAGCCTGCTTTGGATTCTGGATCTCCCTCTCTCTGACCCTCCCCTGCTTGTGCTCTGTCTCTCTCTCCCTCAGAAAGAAAATAAACATTAAAAAAATTTTTCTTTAAAGACCAGGGGCGCCTGGATGACTCAGTCGGTTAAGTGTCTGACTCTTGATTTTGGCTCAGGTCATGCTCTCACGGTTCATGGGATTGAGCCTCATGTTGCATTCTGCACTGACAGCACAGAGCCTGCTTGGGATTCTCTCTCTCCCCCTCTCTCTGCCCCTCCCCTGCTTGTGCTCTCTCTCTCAAAATAAATAAACATTAAAAAAATAAAAACAAAAAAGCCAGGCAGAATTGCGAAAAACACTAGCTACTTCTGAAAATAAAATGTAATTATTAAAATTAGAAACAGTAAATGAGTACAAGTAGAATAGACACCGATAGAGAGAGAATTAGAGAACTGGAAGATAAATCTAAAGACATTACTCAGGCTACAACAAAAAAAAGAGAAGGCAAAGAAATGGGAAATGAGATGTTAAAGAGGTCAGGAATAAAAAAAAATAGAATCTGAGAAAGGCAGTATTTAGAGAAAATAGCTAAAATATTTCCAGAATTAAAGAAAAGAAGTAGGCTTGTTTAATCATTGAATCTAAGGCATCTGGCAAGTGTCTGGTATCTAGTACATGCCCAATACATGTTTGTTAAGTTGAACAGACACATGTCAGTTTTTATTTAAAAAATTCACCAGAGATACAGTTGTGAACAAAATAGACAAAATTCTTGTCTTTATTGACCTTGCATTCTGGATGAAGAAGACAAATAATAAGTAAACAAATTAATACTTAAAATACTTTTTGATTCTAAGAAGTGAGATGAAGGAAGTAAATATATCTATTTAATAAATATTTTGAGATTGGATTTCATCGAAGAAGAGAGACCTCAATGATAAGTCAAGTGAAAGAACACATCCTAAACAAAGTATATAGCAAGTGCAAAGGCTCTGAGTGAGGAATAATGTGGCATTTTCAAGGAAGAGAAAGAAGCCAGTGTGTCGGGATCAGTGAGTAACATGGAGAATGGTATGAGATGTAATCTGAGAGGAGGGCAGGAGAATGGGAGTTTTTCCTTTTTTTCCCTGAGAGCAGCAGGAAGACACTGGAAGGTGTTAAGTGTAGGAGCAGTGTTGTCTGTCACCTTGGCTACTGTGTGGTGTGGGAATGGAGTGTAGTGGGGGCAAGAATGGAAGCAAGGAGCCTACTTAGTGATTTCAGTTGTCCAGGCAAAAGATGACAGAAACTTGGACCAGGATGATGGCCTTGTGTATGGAGAAAAGTGGTTGGATTTAGCTATTTTTTTGGAAGTAGAAACAGTGTATTTGAAGTGATGTTAAAGGTGAAGGAAAGAAAAGGAAGAATCAGGCAGGATTCCTATTTTTGGATTGAGCAACTAGGTGAAGAGTGGTGCCATTTTCCAAGATGGAGAAGAGTAGAAGAGTAACACTTGGGTGGGGGTGAGGTGGGAACACGAAGCAGGAGTTCTGTTTGGGGCATATTAAGCTTGAGATACCTATTACACCTCTAAGTAGACAGCTGTGTATGAGAATATGGAGTTCAGGAAAATGAGCCCCAAGCAAAGGACTGGTTGAATTTTGAGACATAGGTTTCCTTCAAGATCTTCCTATAACATAGGTTTGGACAGGGGTACACACTGGAGACTGACCACTTCCAGCTACAGACTCTGTGGGAATAGTCACTGTAGCTCCAGAGTTCAGGAGAATGTGCCTGCCCAGTGCCCAACCCAGAAGTAGAGCTTGGAGTGTTCCAGGCCCATCTAAACCAACTGCTTTTGGTAGGGACTACAGTTCTAAGCCAGTATGCTTTCTGAAAGATGCCAAAAGACTGAGTACAGAAAAGGCTCGGTGACAAACCCAGGCAGCTCTTGTGAGAGGGAAGGGTGGCAAAGTCATCATATAATCTGGCTCCCACCCACTCCCACCCACTAGCTCAGAGCATTGTATCTAAGAGATCCAAGGGAGTAGAGTCAAGACTATGACGCATCAGGAGGTACAAAGAAAAAGGAGATCCCAGCATGAGGTAATGACTGAAAAATGCCATAGCCCATTACATAAGCGAAAGTGAAACCTCTGAGGAACAAATAAACAAAGGGTATCATATTGATACAAAAATACAAGAAGCTCACTCTGTGGTTGCTGACACACATCATTGTGGAAACAAAACCATGTCCAAAGTGACTATGGTTCAACTTGGAACCACATGACAGGAGCTTTAGGAAGTTCCAAAATAATCAAGAATAACTTGAACAAAGTAGCATTCTTCCCCAGGCTTACGGTTTTGGGGGAAGGGACAAGCATCCCTCTGGAAAGGAGGGACAAGAATTCAAGGGGTCAAAGTGACTCAAGGTTCCACTTGAAAGAAGGAAACTACTGCAGCCTTGGAAGAGGACAGTTAAGAGGAAGAGGAATGTCCATAAGCTGATGGACATTAGTCAGGATTCAGCTTTGAAGTTCACGAGACTATAGACTATACTTTTTTTCTCAGCCAACGTCCTCACTATGTATGTATATGTATGTATATGTATATATCTATACTCACTGAGAAATTTGTCTTTTTTCATTGCTCAGGAAAACCAAGACTATTACTTTAATTCTGAACTGGATCATGTGCACTGGCCATTAGGATCACTTTGCATTGGCCACTAGGAAACTCAGAACCAAATCTGCACCCCACCCTTACTTATTAAGTACATAAATCATTAGGTAGCATGTAGCTTGTGTGGCAGCCTCACTCCTGGCTCAATCTTGATTCTATATCCTTATTTTTCTTTCATTCCCCATTTTCTGATTAAAAAAAAAATAGTGTATTTCACATACAATGTGTTTTGGAATAAAGTACAATATAAATAAATAAACTTTCTGCCCAAACAAGGCAGCATGAAAAGCAGGCACCTGGTGGTATTATGACATCTCAGTGAGCCAAAGAGGTTCTAATTACTGTCTGTTAGACACTCACGTCAGAATCATTAAGTTCATTAGATAGACAGGAATCTTGCTTCAGCCATAAACAAGATGACAAATTAAACGTTCACGAACAAAAGAAGGAGGTATTCAAGGCAAGAAGGGCAGCGCCAATAAAAACCATCAAATGCGCAATTCCAATTCCTGTAGGGGTTGATTTCCACCCAGCCCAGGGTAAGGCCAGGAGCTCCTCTGGCCTGCCTGGGTGGTTCTCTTACAGAAACTTGGCTGTATCCTGGGTATGGTTGGTCCCTCAGCTTCTACCTACTAGGATCGACCACACTCTTGTCTAGACAAGTGGGTCAAAGTCTCTGGAAAGGTTACTTTGCTTGGTTTCTGATTATTTTTTTTTTTTTTTACATTTTAGTAGCTTTTATTCATTTTTCGTTCTTTTAAATTGCCAAAGTTACCCAACTTTAAGTTATAAAAGTAATGCAAAGGCAATGAACATTCAGGTAACACCAAAGATGTAAAATATAAAATCAAACTTCCCTTTCTCTCCCTCCTATTCCATTGCTTCCCTCCCCCAGTTCACCAAGCGTAACTGCCAGTAACTGTTCAGTATGGACACTTTTGGATCTTTTCTGTGCACATTCAGACATATTTACATATATATATACATACACTCATAAAGTCTATGTATAGCTTTATGTTTTTTAAAAGCATTTTTAAATTCACATTATTCTGTAACTTGTTTTTTGCAATCACTAAAATATTTGGGTTCTACTTCTATTACCTACCTACCTACCACATTCTTTGTATAATGGCTTCTGAATGAATCATGAAATCCTAGTAAAAATACACCATCATATATTCAGCCAATTAAGGAACATTTAGGTTGTTTCTAATATTTTGATAGTACACATTAATGTCATAGTAAACATTCTTATACTTGTATACTTTTGCTTTTTTTTTTTTTTTTTCTAAGAGGAGAACTGCCGGGTCAAGGATATGTACGTGTTAAATTTTGATAGGCAATGCCAAATTATCTTCCAGAAAGATAGACCAATCTGTGCTTCCAGCAACTATGAAAGAGTGCCCTTTGTTCACATTCTCATCAACAATGGATATTGCCAGTTTTTTAAATTTTGGCAGAACTGATTAACAAGAGCTTGATACTTATTTTGATTTGTGTTTGTCTGGTCAGTAGTGAGGCTGATCATCATTTTTAGTCTTTCCTTTTACTATGGCTACAATAAAAGACAAAGTTGAAGGTGTGGTTTTTGGTTTATTTTTTTTAGATAGAGATAACCAATCAAAACAGTGATATTTTGAGCTACTGATCCCTGTAAAGATCCACATATGAATGTTCCACGTTTCCATGTTAGGAAAGTTAGTCATAATTAAATTCCCAAGGTCAAATTGGACCAGATGTTTATTCTGGGATTCATGTAATGGCTTTGGCCAAAAGCATTACAAAATGTCAGAACTGTATTCTGATAATGTTCCCTTGTACCACCATTATCACACTGTTACATGTAACAGAAACAACTCTGTTCAAGTTATGGAAAAATAAATTTATTAGACGACTACTGGGAGCCCACCACTGAGCTAATTAATGGACGACTGGGCCCCAGGAATATCATAGTGGTTTCGTAGCTAGCATGGTATGGCTGGGAGGTCACCTCCATACAGCCAATGTTTCAAATTTCTTGATCTCTGTGCTCAAGAGACTAATTCTAGGGAGAAAGGATCTTATTGGCTTGACTTGGGCCTCAAGGGAGGAAAGCCTCTTCATTATAGTCCCAACAGACTGAATCTAACAGGAAAGAGATCCTTCTTCAAAAGGAAACTGCAGTACTGTAAGGAAGTGAAATGGATGCTAGTCAGCTGAACACCAAACAAACAAAACTATCCCCTACACTAAACTTTACAATTGCCGTTTCTTCCCTTCACCTTGTAAATCTGCCCAGTCTCCACGGTCACTACAGATAATCTGACAGACAGTATGCTCCTCACATCCAAAAGGGGAGCCCTTGGAGCAGAATAAAGGAGACCATCCTATTCCTCATACTTTGTGCAATGCTTGTTCAAGAACTGTCCCTTTTTCCAGCCCTGGGATTAAAATATTTAAGTCTTAGAATAAGAACAATTATCCTGAGAGGTTTTAATATTGATCTTCTATCATTCTCCCTTCTCCCTGGGTTATCCTTAAATATATACAAATTCTGTTTACTCATTTATTCATCCAGCAATCACTATTTATAGAGAGCAACCTTTTGTTAGACATTGTTCTACGTGCTGAGGGAACAGTAATGAAATGGAAAGACACGGTCTCTGTCCTGGTAACCGATGAGGGAAAGAGTAAGCAAGGTTGGAACGTGGACTCTGGGCTTTATCTGAAAAGCAACAGAAAGTTACTCAAAGGTTTTGGGCAGGCAAGAAACATCAGATTACATTTTAGACACACCGTTCTAAAATGGTATGTAGAGAGAATGGCCTGCAAGTGTTAAGACCAGAAGTCAAGACAACAGACAGAGGACCAAGGAAGCAGCTAGATAAGAAAAAGCAATAGCCTGGACTAGTTTGGTGGCCAAAGAGATAAAGAGATATGGACAGAATAAGTAAAGAGATATTTAGGAGGTAGAATGAACAGGATTAGGTGATTGAAGGGTTCTAAGAAAGGAAAGAGACAAAGATAACTCTTGTATTTCTGGTATGAGCAACTGGATGACTGATGATGACAATGGATAACCCAGGAGGAGGTGGCTGGAGGCAGGTGGAGAAAAGGACAAATTAGCTGTGGGTCACACTGAGTACATGTGTGATTCTCATGGCAAGTTAGCTATCTGGTTTGCAGCTCAGTAGATTCAGAATATGGAGTTACTGGTGAGCATTAAGTCAAGGAGTTAGAAGACGCTGCCCAAGGAGAGGGGGTAAATTAAACAGAGAGGGTCACCAACATTGAACTCATAGTTTAAATAAAGAAACCCTGGAGTATGCTGATTCAATTGTAACTTCTGTGTCCTGTGGAGGACCACATCAATTCTTTTCTGTTGCAGTTTATTCTACTGTGTGACAACAGCCACCTCCTTCATTTGAGGAGATTAATAACTTAGGCAACACTCCTGGTAGACCTGCCATTTGGCTCAGCTCAGTTCCAGCTTGTTTGGAGAGAGAAGTGTTCCTCATCATGCCATATCCTCACACAGATTGTCCAGGTAAGTAGCCCACCTTTGGTTCAAGGGCTTACAGATTTCCAGGGCCAACGGACCCAAGGCTATACAGGCTATGGGTTGGTGGTGGTGGGATGGTGGGATCCACCCTTGAGGACAGCCCAGCCCTGACTAGGCCCCGCCCTGCTACTCTTTTCTTTGGTCCTCACGGCAGATTTGAGGATTGAATTCCTTCCACACAGTGTGGTCCCAGTTACCCCTCTCCTGCCTCCCTCCCTTCCTCACTCCAGTGAGGGCTGGGCTATCCAGTCACTGGATATGGAAAAACTGTGCATTCCACCAGATCCTTTGTGTTTGTGTTTCTGTTTCTGTCTGAGGTACCAGCAAGACAAGAAGAGAAAAACACACAGGAGCACATTAGGCGGAGCTGGGATTCTGCTACACATTCAGATGACAGGTCACCTATAGACAGATGATTCAGGGATCAACCTGGAGTTCTTAATACAACCAAGAAGAGACTCAGAAAGCTGGGAATATGGGCAAAAGATCATCTTGAAAACCACACACAGTTGTGGTAAATAAATGCACAATTTAAAAAACGCATTTACAAAAATATAGGGGTCTCCAGTCTAGCCCTCGTGAATCCAAGGAATTGCTTGAACCTTGTTGGCCTAGCCTATGATCCCAGCTCTGACCGCTGTTGCCCATGAAGGCCTCAGTGAATTCCTCTTGGAGCCTCCAGACTTCCTTGGCTGGTAACTTGTTCCTCTTGGGACGGTTTCGCCTGAGTTGAGCGGCCTGGCCCCCAGCTGTGTGCCGGCCCTCTCTCCGGTAAGAGGAAACGCTTTCAGTTGAGTCCATTAACACAAACATTCAAAAGCAAACATTAAAAAGCCACAGATCATGTTCACATAAATAAAATAGGATTGAGGAAAGCTTCACCCCAAGAAACCAAAGGGGTGTTTAAAAAACTGCCCTTGCCTTCCAAGTAGGCAGGCAGCAAAGCCACAGCAATTCCAAAGGCTTGTGTGCTTGGTAGAGCTGGGTGGCTGAGGCCACAGACCTTTGAAGAGGAAATGCCATCCCTGGGACAGGCAGGCAGCCAGCCCCTGAGTCCTGAAAGTACCAGAGAAAAGCAGAAAGCAGTGAAGGGGAAGGAGAGGCACAGTGAAGAGGTAAAAAAGGGGAGGGAACAGAGCGAATAAATGGGGAGATTCTTCCCACTAGGGTCCCCACGCCCAGACCAAAGAGCCACTACACAGAGCAATTCACTGTGCCCCAGAGACGAAGCCGGGGCACGGACAGTCCTGAGCGGCGGGCACAACCCAGGGTGACTAAGGCTTTGAGGAGGGGAGTGTGTCGTCGCTGAGGGGTGGAGAGGGGTGGTGGTGTCTGGGCTGAGAGATGCCTTTGCTTTGAAAGCTTCAGAGGAAATTAACTTTACAAGGTACCTCCCTGTCTCCCAGAGTTATTAAAAGGAGGGAGCAAAGAAGAAATGGAAAAATGGTAATACCTCAGGAAGGGCTATGTGATCCTAACAGAAGGAAATGAGAGGAAGATTAAGTGACGAATGTGCAACCTCCCCTTTGGGGAGGAAGAGCTCTGAATGTGACCTTGTGCAAATGGAAAAGAAACACAACAATGTGGCAAAGGGAAAACCGTGCATGCGCGTGAACACACACACGCGCACACACACACACACACACACACACACACACCAGCTTTGAATATCGAGAGATAAATGACTAATACTGTAAAACCTCCAAGTAAAAAACTGTTAGTACCTTTGTCTCAAGAAGGCAGCACTGAATGCTACAGGAATGGCAGCGAGTGGGGGAGTTGGCGTAAATCAGGGGGTCACGAGAAGGTATAAATCTGGGAGCCTTTGCCAGTCTTAACAGTGGGGCCAATAGATGGAAAGCAGGCACTGACTGCTCTTTTGTTGTTGCTGAAGGAAAATAACCCACTACATCTAAAAACTCTTAAAAAAAAAAACAAAAAACAAGGAAGCCAACTGAAGCCATCTATTTCACAGGGTAGGAAGCCAGGTGTTTTCCTGCATGTTAAAAAACTGGGATTTAAATTTTTAAAACCCTCCTGCCTGACAATAATCCTCAGATCAGATGAGGCCACCCTCGCCCAACTCTGGTAAGCCCCATCAGTGTTTGAAAGCACAATCCTTAGACGCTTGTGCCTGCCCAGACACATGCATCCAGCAACTTCTTTACATTCAAAACTGCATTCAGGTAGGATGGCAAATCGCAGGTTGAAAAAAACAAACAAAAAAAACCCCCACATTAGGGGAGACACAACCCATCCACTGTTCCTATTCTGTCTCTGTATTCCTAAGTCCTTTAGTCCCTCAAAGGCCCTTAGAATGGCAACTCTAGAAGGACTTTGATACTTCCGGAGAGGACACTCAGAGTGGCCTCCTAATGGAGGAGACACTCCTGTGCCTTCCAGATAGCACTATGTTTAGCCCGCCGTGAAGCAAACAGCTCCAGCTGGTTTCTGCTGGCTCCTTCATCAAAGCTGCTCCCCAAACCTCTCGACGCTCCCAAAACAGGAAGCCCTAAGAAGGTTAGGAATTTTCTTTACCAAACTAATAGAGTATCCTGATTGAAGTACCTCAGGACAGAAACTGACCAAACCAAAGCATTCGTGGTCATGATGGACAGCTCCTTTCTTCATGGAGAAAATAATTTTTATTTTCAATTTCTTCTAATTATTTTGTGTGTATCAACAGATTTAGAAACAACCATAGCCACAGTACTGAATGTTTATCATGTGCCAGATGCTATATATGTGTTATTTTGTATAGTTCTGATAAGCTTGAGATGGGTACCATATTGTTTCCTTGTTAATTGAGGCTCAAAGAGGCTGTATAGCTTGTGAGAGGATATACTAGTACACAGAGTCAGGGTTTGAAATGAGTTCTTTTGAAATCCCAAACCAGTTCCTTTAATCAGTATACTAGATTGGCTCCTAGGGCCAAAACTAGGTTTATTTCTGCAGCAGGGAAATAAAGGAAACAAGGAAACAAGGAAAAAACTCCATGTTGAGACCTTTGACTAGTGTAACTCAATGTCCTGTTTCTGATATTGACCAGCAGGGACATTAGGTAGACAAGGCTGGGCCACTATATTTAAAAAGTTGAATAATCTAAATAATCTTTGTTATTCATTCATTTATGTTAAATCCATTAATGTTTACAGTCTACATCAATCTCTTGGATATTAGATTCTATAAGTTCATAATTTTATTCATTTGCTACATTTTTATGTATCCTGAAACTACTTTTGGTAAGTGTCAAGGGAAGCCCTCATGTTCTAGTATTCTGTTTTTTAATAAATTGCTGATAGAATCAAGATAAAAACAATAGACTGGAACGAAAAGGTATAAGAATAAATTATAGGTCGTGAACTAAGTAAGGTTCAGTTAGTCAGCCTGTTGACTACAGAATGATGGTTAAAAAAAAAAAAAAAAGATGGATGCTGTCACTCAATGGTCAACCATGGGATGTGGTAATCTCAGGCTGCCTTAATAGAAACATAAGGTCCAGGACAAAGGTGGGATGACTCTGATGTAGTCTACACTGCATACATAGTAAGTCATGTTCTAGACACACAGGTTTAATAACAACAAAGACATTTGAGTGTTAAATCAAAACAAAAATGATGAGAAAATAATTGAGTGATTCAAAACCACATTCCATGAAGTGTGTGTGTAGTGTGTGTGTGTGTGTGTGTGTGTGTGTGTGTGTTGAGGGAGAAGTGGAGTGGGGGCAGAGTAACTGACTTGAACATTTGAACATAAGGAGTGGATTCAGGGGAAAGAACTGGAACCAAATGGAAAGAAATTTCAAGGGGCTGATCGTGGCTCAGTATAAGGGAGAATTTTCTCTCAGAACTGCCAAAATGGAATGTGCTGCCTCCAATGGTGATAAGCTTCCCGTCCATGGGGGTATTCAAATAGAGGCTGAATGACCACTTGTGAGAGATGGTGTGGAGGGAATTCAGACATCGGAGGTGGGCAAGGGTGGGGAAGCGACTCCATGATCTCCAGGATCCCTCCCAATTATAAGATTCCACACTTAATATCTCTCACCCTTCATTCACCATCTGGGCAATCCCTAAAAAAGCCATTAATCTCTCAAAGCTTCAATTTCCCCTTCAGTAAAAGCATTACATAAAACCTGTGAAATCACAAGTTTGATGTGAAAATGCTATTTATATTTTACTAGGATTCACATTATCATTATATTTATGAAAATAAAAATATTCATGAGTCAACTAAAAGTCACCTTGCTTACCCCCTAAGGCATCTTGGAAGGCCTTGGATTGATCTCTCTCTAATCCTTTTGGGTGTCAGATCCCCAGATTCTGTGGTTCTGCAGACTTCAATCACACATTGGAGGTGACTACAGGGGAGAGTGGTTTGGAAAAGATGTCAAGCTGTTTCAAAAAGATGTCAAGCACATTTGAACTTCCTCACATTCTATCACTTGGGAAACTTTTGTTACTGTGGCAGTTGAAAATGAGAGGAAAGTACTCCAGAAGGACTGCAGAAATGACAGGTAAATGTTAGTAGGATCATTCTTCAGTTCTGCTTCTAGCTTGATTCTCAGGCTGGCTCCCCTTGTGGACCATGGGTACAGCCGTTCTAAAGCTCACATGCCATAAGTTAGCCCAGTGAGGAAGAGAGATTGAGTTCTAGCATTCCTAGTACAAACCCAGGGGCTCATCCTGAGATGGACTGACATGCCCATTCCTGAGCCAATTACTTTGGCTGAGAGGGTGGAATGGGGAGGAGTATCAATCCCAGCCAAACCATACAGCTGAGAGTGAGGAAAAGAAGCTCTTGAAGGAAATGTGGGGTATCGGGTAGAAGGACTAAGCAGTTTTGGACAGTCCAACCTCTGGCCACCTAACATCATCCCACAGCTTCCACACCTACAGGCCACATTCCCTTCCCGAAAGGAGATAATATAAAATCTCATCCAGTTACTAAAGCTAGATCCAAGTCCAATATTTATGTCAATGTACAAATCATGTTAAGTACCTCTTCATGGTTCAGTGATCTGTGGGTAAATAATAAGCCTAACCACACCCTATATATAATAGAAGAGAGAAAACAGAACTCCAATAAAAATTCCAAATTGCAAAGCAGAGAATGTAAAACATCCAGGGGCCATCAGTCCTCATAACATATTATAATCTTTTGGGACAGAAATGGCAAAGACTCCCTATATCTTGCAGTGAAGTGAAGGTCAGGGTTGCCTTAATTTCATTCTCCAAGAAGATCTCCCTTGTCCATTATTTCTGTAAAAGAACCTCTTTAGAGGACCACACAGCTTTAGCAGCCACTGCTGGCTGGTGTAACACTGGAGTGTGTGTGTGGTGGGGGATGGGGTTCTGAGGACTGATTTAGGGATTGGGCAATTGATTTTGTCATTGGGGATTTCTCTGATACAAATCTTCATGGGTTTAGTTGGCTCCCATCTGTGTGTTTTTGGTTGTGATGGTTAATTTTATGTGTCAACTTGACTGGGCAGATATTTGGGCAAACATTATTCTAGATGTTTCTGTGAGGGTATTTTTGGATGAGATTAACATTTAAATTAGAAGACTAAGTAAAGCAGATAGCTCTCCCAATGTGGGTGGGTCTCAGCCAAACAGATGAAGGCCAGAGTGGAACAAAAATCCTCTAAGATTTTCCCTTCCTTAACCACCTTTGAACTGGAACATTCCTTCAGACTTGAACAGAAACATCAGTTCTCCTGGGTTTCTAGCTTGCTGTCTCACCTCACAGATCTGGAATTGCCAGACTCCATAATCACAAGAGGCAATTCCTTATAATAAATTTACTTCTCTCTATATATATCTATATATCTATATCTATATCTATATCTATATCTATATCTATATCTATATCTATATATACCCTTTTGGTTCCGTTTCTCTATAGAACACTGATTAGTACACTGGTCAATTCCATGGGTTAGTAATAAAAGTAGAGATCTAGTTGATTAATAGCGTTTCATTTACAGCACAGGTGTGGGATGACTGCAATTATTGGTTTCTGCTTCCACACTGGCCTCTGTTTGGGGGCAATACAAAGCAATGATCTGGAGAGGGGAGGAACAGTTACGTTCCTTTGTCAGAAGGCAACACACCAGCTGCATCTTTTCAAAAGGCATAGCTATCCCTTTGGATAGGGTGGAAGGCTTTAACAAGAGGATTCTAGAAGAGGCTTGGGAGATCACACTTATTCCAGGTAATCTTTCTTTATCGCACTTTTCCTCCTTGTTTTGCTCAAACTAACTTAACTGTAGGAAGGAATCTGGCTTTTCCATTTAGTCAAGAATCCAAACTACTGAGCTCCATATACTTGGTCTGCCCATCACAAGCAGAAAGGATTTCTTATAGCAAAGAATTTCATTCTTTCTTGATTTTCAGAGGCATTTGTTTCAAAGTAAATCTCTTTCTTGTAAGATTTACAAAGCTTCAACCTAGAATCAGTGCATCCTACAGCCTGAACTTTTTGTTCAAGTCCCTTAATGCTACAGCCCAGGAAGACATATGGACTGAGGGTCCCAATAGACATTAGACAACTATTACAGTCCCACAAAGAGTTGCCAATGGCCAACTACAGAAAAGACTTCAATACCCTTCAATACCCAATGTCCTTCAATACCCATTTAATTCTCCTTAGTAAAAAGATCCACAATTTTTAGTTAGTCACATCGCCACTCAGAGTAAATACTTTCTTCCATTTCCTTGTAACTAGGTGTGGCCACAGGGCCAAGTTCTACAAATAGGATGTCACAGAAGTGCTGTGTGCAACAGCTATAAAATATCTTTAAAGGGAAAGTTAAGATTATTTTTCTTTTATGGACCAATGTAGTCCTTACACTGTAGCCTAGGATAGAGGTTCTCCTGTCTTGATTCGGCCAATTCCATAATCAAGGGCCTATAACTTGCCACACTTCATTTCCTAGTTTCAAATTTTGATATAGTTGACAGAAAACCCAATTTACAAATACTTGAATAAGGAAACAGAAAAGGAATGTATTGGCTAATGCATCTGACCACTCCACAGGGATAGATGGCTTGGCTTCAGGCTGGCTCTCCTTACGGAAGCAGAACAGGCTAACCCACTTTTAGCCTTACATTTTTACAGCGCGGGAGAGTCCATGCCCGGCCTGTTCTGTAGCTCCCTCAGATTGCACCAGCTTAGGCCACCTGCACAGTTGGAACCAAACATGCGATCGCACTCTGATCTCTTCAGGCTGATGAAAACCCACCCAGGAGCTAGGGCTGGGTTTAATCCCATCCAAACCAGATGGCTGAGAACAAAGGGGAGCTGGTAGTTTCCAAGAAGAACTCAAGGTATGGTTACCAGAAAGAAGTGGGGGGTGCACATTGGGGAGCAAACAACAGATTTTCACTATACCTTTTAATATAATCCATACTTGTACCATCACTTGGCCTAAGCTTTCTAGATTCATTACTGCTCTTTGGAGGAAGACAAAATGGGACTACTGGAGATTACAGATGATAATGAAGTACTTCTGTGTGGGCTCAATTATAGAATTTCAAAGCAAGTACTTTTTGATCTGTGAAAGGAACTAAGAAAGAACTTGCTTGCCCTCTCACTCCTAAGGGGCACCTGAGTTTGGTAGGAAAAAGAGAATCCGATTGCTTAGGGGAAAAAAAAAAACAAAACCAAACCTCACAACTGCTCCTCTTTCCACTTAGGAAAGTGAGAAAAGAACATCTGGATCCTGTTCTCCCTTCAACTATCCATACACAGGTCAGCCACAAACAGTGGCTTCCTTCTTGCAGAGTCCCATTAATTAATTAGCTGGAAGACTGGATGCCCGCTCTCGCTTGGCTTTCCTCACCACCCCAAGTTTTCCATTTCCAATGCTTAGAAGTTTTGTTTGTGAGGGTCCAAATGTGGCAGGAACTATTTACAGGCTCCTAAGCTGCAGTAGCTGCGGAGGCCAAAGATGTTGGCTGAACAACCGACCAACCTTTCCAGGGAGAGATCTGAAGCAGAGAATGTGAAAAAACACCTTCCAATCTGTCAGGAACATGGAAAAAGTTGCTGTCTCTTCTGTGTTGGCGGGGACCCTGAAGCACAGCATCACAGCATCTGGTCAACCAACCACCGAAACTTCAAAACAGAGATTGGACTCTACTGTTTTTCTTTAGGAACACAGAGCAGCAGTCAGGAGCAGGACCACAGGGCTCTGGGAAAAATGAGAAGTTACTGGGCTTTGGAGACCATCTTCACCACAGATTCATACCATATGCGCCTAACCTAGAATCGACTGTTTGAGGGGCCAACAGAAATCATGATACCAAGAGGTGGTGTGACAGTCTCTTCTCACAGTAAAAATAACTTAGAGTGCTTAGCAGAAACCTGGGAGAAGGGACATTTGTCTGCAGTAAAAAGCAAAACCACCACTTGATAGTCCCTGCATTATCTACCTCCGGGAGGTAAGAAATTTCCCTTTTAAAAATCACATGGTTTAATATACTTCCCTCTCCTTGGTTATATGGTTGAGAGCATGGAAAGTGGCTTTAGTTCTATGGAATTAAGAGTTAACACAAAAAAACAAAACAAAACAAAATAATTAAAACGCACATTTCCCTGTTTACAAGGCCTTTCATTTGCTGCTCTGGTCTGTTCACGGATTTCCTCCAACCATCCCATTTCCACTTCTGAAGCCAATTCCCAACAGGTCCCGAAATTATACTTCCTCTGTGGTTGTCCTGACTCCCCAAGTCTATCCTGTCCAGAGGCAAGCCTCAACAGCTCTCAGCTGGGAGTCACCAGAACGCCCAGCACATGCTCCCCCTGCAACCTGACATAAAGTCAATGTGATAATCATTGACAGTTGCCTTTGCGTCCTTACATCCTTTCCCCGTGGGACCCTTACCCAGGTAGTCCTGGGGAGCAACGTTCTCTGAGGTCTGCTGCAACTGCTTTGAGCAGCACTCAAATGAGTAGCGTACAATTCACAATTCATAATGGACAGTAGAACAGACTTGATACCCAGACCCTGGAATCCACTGAAAGAAACCGGCATTAGCATGAACAGCTGGTTTGAAACAAACTGAAACGATTGAAGTTTTTATGCCCAAACCAGCAAAATATGTGAGTAATATGGATGAAATACCCAAGAGGAATTAAACACACGGGGAGAAACTTAGCCTGCTGTCCATCATTGAGGAGAAAAACCTCCAAGAAAAGCAGTTTCACGAATTGTAAAGAAACTGTCCTTTTCCAAAAAATGTTAAAAGTAGTCTGATCACCCAGACGGAGCCCATGGAGGCTATGTGGCCTAAAAGTTAAGAATGTGACCTCTGAAGCCCACCTGGCCCTGGTTTGAATCCTTGTTTACCTATTTCCTCTTCAGGTGACTAATGTGTTTGGATCTGTTTCTTGCTCGTATCATATGAAAGGGGGAAGATGGTAACACACCTAATTGACTCTAGAGCCCACACTTTAACATCTCTGAACTCTTTAGTCTTAAAATAGCTTTTGGCCAGGCCACAGTCACGATGCAGTTGTCACTGCCTGTGCAAATGTGGACTTGGTGGCTGTTTCTGGTGGCACAAATGGACAACTGCAGCCTTTCAATATTTTGGTTCATAAATCATTGTCCTGATTGTCGTGAAGCTTCAGGATGCCTTACCCAGTTAATTTCACTTACGTTTATCTTTTTATATGAGCATAGAATGATATAAAAATTTATCTCAATACCACATTACATCAATTCTACATTATTGTTTCATATTTCACCATCTCAAGTCAGGATGTGTCACACAGTTAATAAAGCTGTTTTTCGTTCTTGGTGGTATACAAAATAGTGTGTCGTACAAATTGATGGAGTCTTAGATTTGTTGAAATCAAATGCCTAAAAGAGCTCTTTATGTAAGTATAAACATTCTAAATTGAGTTCTTTAAAAAGCACTAGGTCATTAATTTAATTGGCAGCATTTTTTTTTCTTTCTTAAAGTTACATAAAATGTACATCTTACCATTAATGCATTTTAGATTCAAAGAAATACAGCAGTACCTATCTCAGGATTGTGAGGATTCAATGTTAACAGTTATGTTTACAATAGTGCCTTGCTCATGCTAAATTCTAGGTTTTTAGCTCTTAATATTTATCATCCTATCAGTCAGGGTTTTTGCTGTAGATTGAAAGAGATCTATAAAAATTAAAAATTTTTATAAAATTTTCAACCTAGAGTGCTTTCCTATTCCTCCTACCTCATCTCAATGCCCAATCTTTTTTTTCTTAATACGTATTTTTTTAAATGTTTACTTTGAGAGAGAGAAGGAGAAAGAAAGCACAAGCAGGACAGGGGGAGAGGCAGAGGCAGAGGCAGAGGGGGAGGGGAGGGGGAGGGAGAATCCCAAGCAGGCTCCACACCCAAGCAGGCTCCACACTGCACAGAGCCCGATTGGGGCTCGAACTCACAAACTATGAGATCGTGACCTGAGCTGAAATGAAGAGTCCCAAGCTTAACTAACTGAGCACCCAGGTGCCCCTCAATGCCCAGTCTTTATTGAGGGCTTACTTCATGACTGAAACTGTGCTTATGTTCTCACGCAATAATCAACCACAGGCTTGGCCTTTAAGACTAGAAGAATTTCAGCAACAATTAAATAGAAAGATAATCCCAGGTGCAGAGAGGAATCAAGTGAAGGAAAATATCCAAGCTCTATCATTTCTCATTTAACAATTTGACCTAAGAATAAGCTTTAACCTCTGAGTCTTGGGTTTTCCATCTGTAAAATGGATTTACAGTAAATCCCATCAGCAATGCTATCAACATGACCACTTCCATTCTCCACCTAGCCCCTGTTCAAAAGTGGCCATGTGGGCTCAAATTCTTAACTCTTGGTGAAGAATAGGAGAGGGAAGGTGAAGCTGGGGAAGAAATTCAGGCTGTTTCAGAAGTGGGGAAGCGGAGGGCAGGTTAATCTCACATAAGGATGATGAAACAGGCACTGACTACCTAGATTTTTGGACTCATTCTGTTATCCTAGGAGGACAAGTCAGATACAGGACTGACTCAGAACTGTCTCATTGACATTTTAGCCTGAGTGGACATCTGCCACCACATGGTGCCAAACTACAGAATGGACTTGGGACTCCAAAGTTAGACAGTAGTGAGCCACCTGGGTGGCTCAGTCGGTTAAGTGTCCGACTTCGGCTCAGGTCATCATCTCACAGTTCATGAGTTCGAGCCCTGCATCGGGCTCTGTGCTGACAGCTCAGAGCCTGGAGCCTGTTTTGATTCTGTGTCCCCCTCTCTCTCTGCCCCTAACCCACTCGCAATCTGTCTTTGTCTCTCTCAAAAATAAACAAACATAAAAAAAAAAAAGTTAGACAGTAGGAATTCCTGGACAGCTAGGTATACTAGCTCACCTGTCATTTCTTTCAGCCTGCAATAATGCAAACCCATGTCATGTTACGGAATTTTTTGTGCCCCCACTTAGAGCAGGGCTTTACTGTCACATCTACTTCACTGGACTGTTGGGAGAAATCTTAAATGCTGATCCAAGCACTTTAAGTGCTTGGAATAATGCTTGGTATTTTGTAAGCTATTGATACATGTTAGCTATTACTCTTATTATTAATAGGATATTAAAGACATTTAATAACTGGGGCATTGGGTGGCTCAGGTCATGATCTCATGGTTCGTGAGTCCAAGCCCCGTGTCAGGCTCTGCGCTGACAGTGTGGAGCCACCTTCAGATTTTCTCTGTCTGCTCCTCCCCCATTCATGCTCTTTCTCTCAAAAAACAGAACAAAAAAAACCACCCCCCCCCAAAACAAAACAACAAAAAAAAATCACCCCAAACATTTAATAACCGGTATGGCATTAGCATCAGCCAATAAAGAGACACATACAGTGTGATCATAACTAGGACTTCCACATGCGGGGATCACAGCTATGACTGCTTAAGCTAGATCTCAAAGAATAGGTAGAATACATTCTTGTAGAGACAATGAGCAAAAAGGCAGGCACATCGGGGGTGGGGAAAAACCTGGGACGTCCATATAGATATCTTCTTTGTTGTTTTGTGTGACCGAGGCAAAGGGCGAAAAAGAAAGGGGAGAAAGGATGGAAAAAAGGAAGGAAGGAAGGAAGAGAGAGAGAGACAGAGAAGGCTATAAAATCAGGAGGTTGGGGCCAAGTCATAAAGGGTAAGGATTCTGGTACTTGATTCAGCAAGAAAAGAAAACTGGCAAGAGATTTGTGTGCAAAGACCAAAGGATACATTTGGTTATGAAGTTCAAAATGAGTGCAGTCCACCACACTCCAATATGGGAAATGTTTACATTACAGTTCATTTAAAGAACATATGCACACATACTTTAGATAGCTTTCACTGACCAAAGTTGAAAGAAAATACTTTGTAGTGAAGTAAGATCCCCAAAAGTTTATTTTAGGGCCTATTTTTAAATTTTTTTTAATGTTTATTCATTTTTGAGAGACAGAACACGAGTGGGGGAGTGGCAGAGAGGGAGACACAGAAACCAAAACAGACTCCAGGCTCCGAACTGTCAGCACAGAGTCCAACACAAGGCTTGAACCCATGAACCATGAGTTCATGACCTGAGCCAAGTCGGATGCTTAACTAACTGAGCCACCCAGGTGCCCTAAGGGCCTATTTTTTTTTTTTTAAGTAGTATTCATTTTTTGAAGTATTTTCCTCCCGTTCAACTCTAATTTCAATATCAAAATTTCTCAAATGTTGACAACACTGGAAGTTGCCAAATCTGTGATGGCAACGGACTGGTGCTATGTGCATGTGATCAAACCAGCAGCAACATAACGTCAAACACAAATGGAAAGTATTTTTTCAATGCCTAACATGGCAACTGAAAGCAGCAATGGCATCAAGCAGGAATTAAAATCTCTAGTTAAAGCCAATGAGGGTTTGCAGGTTAGTTTTGAAATTTACTCATGTTATTTCAAATCAGAAACCTCTTGCTATTTAACTCAAATAGGGTACAATGGACCTCTGCTAGTTTTGGATTCTCAGGAACTGTCTTTCCTCTCCTGCTCCCTTTCTCCTTTTTCTGATAATTTCCCCTTCCTTTGGGGTAACTCCTCTCCTCATCAGCTAAGGGATGGGATGTAACCCAATGTGGGCAAAATCAAAGTTCTTTCCCGAATTTTACATAACTCACTGCCGTGCTTTGGTTATGATGATGTAAGCC